AAAAAGTTAAAGGGGGTGTGGGTACAGGAAAGATGCTGGAATGAGGTGGACATCATTACTCTAGGAATATGTATGACTGCACATCAGGTGTGATGTTACACCACATACAACCAGAGAAATGAAACGTTGTGTACAATGAATCAAAATGCATTCTGTCATATATATCTAATTAGAATAAATTAATCAATTTTTTAAAAGTTAAATGAAATAACAAGAGATAGGTGTTTTGTTCATTTTTTTGTCTTTTTTTTTTTGTAGGGTGGGAAGTAAATAAATAGTATAATACTTTTTATCCAATAATCTCTCTTGGCCTATTTCAGTGTCCCAAAGTTTATTTAAAAGAACAGACAGGGCATTTTAAAATGGCACAAAGACAAAACAACAAAGAAGCAACAGAAAAAGAAATACAAGAACTGTAACATACACGGTAATTATAATATAAAGTAATAGGACAGAGTTGAGACCAAACATATCAGTCTATCAGTAGTAACTATAAATGGGTTTAATTTACTAATTTAAAGGTTTAAAAGATTTTCAATTTGTCTTACAATGGAAGATCCAACATTAAGCTGTAGATAAGAGGGATACCTAGAATGAAGAGATTCAGAAAGGCTAAGGATGAAAGCAATGGCAACAATTTATCAAGACAAACAGAAACCATAAGAAAGTTGCAATCCTGCAACTGAGTTGCAATCCTGATACAAGACAAAGCACAATTTAACCTGAAATCATTAAATAAAACAAAGGACCCATTTTAATGCTAAAAGCCACAATTCACAATGAAGATATACTGCAACCACCTTTATAAAGCAAACAAAAACAGAAGTTTAAGAAAGAATATAATAATTGTAGCCAGATAAAATGGCATACACCTGTAATCCCAGTGGCTCAAGAGGCTGAGACAGTAGGACGGTGAGTTCAAAGCCAGCTTCAGCAACTTAGTGAGTCCCTAAGCAATTCTGAGAGACCCTGTCTCTATATAAAATATAAAAAAGGTGCCCCCCCAGGGGGGCAGGATATGTGGCTCAGTGGTTAAACTCCCCTGGCTTCAATCCTTGGTACTAAAAAGAAAAAAAAAAAGAATATAATAATCATGAAAGTAGAAATTAATGACATAAAACAAGAATCAAGATTTTTTTTCCTATAGTAGACCAGATAATTAAATATATTTGGCTTTCAAGGCCAGACCAGTCTGTCACAACTACTCAACTGTGCCTTTGTTCCAATAAAATTGCTTTTATGGAAACAGGCAAAAGACCTGATTTGGCCTGCAGGCCGTAGTTTGCTAATTCCTGATGTTGAAAGAGCAGAGAGAAAAAAAAGTGGAGATCCAATTAATGAACCTAACTCTTGGACAGTCAGGCCTTTGTATCCATGGACTCCAAATCCATGGATTCAACCAACCTGGGATCAAAACTATTTGGGGAGAAAAAATTAGGTCAGTATACTGAACATATTCAGACTTTTGTTCTTGTCTTTGTTCCCTAAATAATACAGTATAAAACTATTTTCACAGAACTTGCATTGTGTTAGGTGTTATACTGTTAAGCTAGAGAAGACTTAAAATATACAGGAGGCTGTGTGTAGGTTATATGCAAATCTACACATTTTCCATAAAAGACTTCAGCATCTTCAGATTTTGGTATCAGTGGGGT